CGGGCCCCTCCGCACGCAGCCCAGAGCCTCAGACCCGGGCAGAGGGCGGGCAGCCCCAGGCCAGAGCCCTGCAGTCTGGGTGGGGCGTGGGCGCAGCAGGACGGGAGGGGCTAGAGCAGGCCCGGCACCTGGGCCCTCTGAGGGGCAGACTCAGCACAGCCTGGGGCCAGAACCAGGAGAGCTGCCCGCTGTCCGAGCCTCCTGGTCCACCACGCCCTTACCACCGAGGGCGGCAGCCACAGGCCCTGCCCACGGACCCTCAGGGACACCCGGACACAGGGATATCTGGACACAGGGACACCCGGACACAGGGACACCCAGACACAGGGATATCTGGACACAGGGACACCCGGACACAGGGATATCTGGACACAGGGACACCCAGACACAGGGACACCCGGACACATGGACACAGGGACACCCGGACACATGGACACAGGGACACCTGGACACAGGGACACCCGGACACATGGACACAGGGACACCCAGACACGGACACAGGGACACCCGAACACAGGGATACCCGGACACAGGGACACCCAGACACTGGAACACCTGGACACAGGGACACATGGGCACAGGGACACCCGGACACAGGGACACCCGGACACAGGGACACCCGGACACCCAGACACAGAGACACCCGGAAACAGGGACACCCAGACACAGAGACACAGGGACACCCGGACACAGGGACACCTGGACACCCGGACACAGAGACACCCGGACACTGGTACACCCAGACACAGAGACACTGGGACACCCAGGCACTGGACACCCTGATACCGGGACACCAGACATGAGCTCAGGTTACAGCTGCCATGATTCCCTTCACCCGAGTGCTTCTGAAGGGCCCCCAGCGGAGTGTGCCCCTCACCGGCCGCCCTCCTAAGACTCCGCTCTGCCCCCAGCATCACTGGCTCCCACCATCACTGGCTCCCACATCACTGGCTCCCACCATCACTGGCTCCCACATCACTGGCTCCCACCATCACTGGCTCCCACCATCACTGGCTCCCAGCATCACTGGCTCCCACATCACTGGCTCCCACATCACTGCCTCCCACATCACTGGCTCCCACATCACTGCCTCCCACATCACTGCCTCCCACATCACTGGCTCCCATTATCACTGGCTCCCACATCACTGGCTCCACATCACTGGCTCCCACCATCACTGCCTCCCAGCATCACTGGTTCCCACCATTACTGGCACCCACATCACTGGCTCCCACATCACTGGCTCCCAGCATCACTGCCTCCCAGCATCACTGGTTCCCACCATTACTGGCACCCACATCACTGGCTCCCACATCACTGGCTCCCAGCATCACTGCCTCCCAGCATCACTGCCTCCCAGCATCACTGGTTCCCACCATTACTGGCACCCACATCACTGGCTCCCACATCACTGGCTCCCAGCATCACTGGCTCCCAGCATCACTGCCTCCCAGCATCACTGGTTCCCACCATTACTGGCACCCACATCACTGGCTCCCAATATCACTGGCGCCCACATCACTGGCTCCCAGCATCACTGGCTCCCAGCATCACTGGCTCCCACCATCACTGCCTCCCAGCATCACTGGCTCCCAACATCACTGGCGCCCACATCACTGGCTCCCAGCATCACTGGCTCCCAGCATCACTGGCTCCCAGCATCACTGGCTCCCACATCACTGCCTCCCACCATCACTGGCTCCCAGCATCACTGGCTCCCACATCACTGGCTCCCACCATCACTGGCTCCCACCATCACTGGCTCCCACCATCACTGCCTCCCAGCATCACTGGCACCCACATCACTGGCTCCCAGCATCACTGGCTCCCACCATCACTGGCGCCCACATCACTGGTGAGGTAAATAGAGGGAAGCCGGGCCCTGGAGCCGCAGGGGGACTCAGCGAGAGCAGGCCTGGGGGGCGTCCCTGCACGGGGGCCAGACACACACACTCACCCCAACTTCCCCGCGGGAACCGCATGGTGCTGCCGGCCTGTGTGCAGCTGGTACCGCCCCTGCCACCCAGGGAGGGAGGGACAGACTGACCCGCACACACCCCTCTGGCCAGATGTCCTGGCCCTGCGCGGCCTCCCTGGTCCCAGAGCCCCACACCCTTCCCTCGAGAGGCTGGCCGACGGGCGCCAGCTCCGTGCCCCTGCTGCTCTCTGTACGTCTCTCTTCTTCCTGGTACATGAAGATCGAGATGAAAGCTGTTAATCTGCACGGCGCTGTAATCCAGGGGGCGGGGAGACGGGGGGAGACACAGTGGAGAGTCTTTGGAAGAGGGAGGTGGAAAAGAACCCAGCTGTTGCCTCAACTCTGTGTTCTGAGACCAAACGCAGGTAAGGACACGAAAGAATGGCTTCCCTCTGCCCCTCCTCACCCGTGCGCTCTGCGCCCTCCACGCAGGCAGCTGGGTCTTAGCTCGGGTCCCCAGACCCTGGCCCCCACTGGCCCTGGAGTTCACAAACATGGCGTCTGTGTTCCGTGTGCAGGACGGGGCTCTGGCTCGCAGAGGGGGAGGACGGGTGGGGGGGTCTCGAGGGGCGAGCAAGGGAAGGTGCACACCCAGGCGTGGCCCCGCACCCCACCGGCGGCCCTGCCCGGGGCTCCTCCCTGCCCGGGCCAGGCCTGGCGAGGCCGGCGGGACCGTTCTCACCAAGACTGTGGCAGCCAAGGCCTCAATTAGGGACACAATGGCCCTCTCTCCCGCTCACCGCCCTATTCATCTGGGCGAACACTGGAGGACACACTGGCCGGAGGGGGACGGCTTGGCCAGGGGCTGACCTGCATCTCCACACAAAGGCGGAGTGTGTACAAGCGGCTCCCTGTGTCCCCCATTCTCCACCCGAACAAACCAGACCCACGGAAATGGCGATTTGAACAGCTCCTTCCCACTCGCCCGCAGACAACAAGTCGCAATTGTCCACCGCCGCTCCCTCTCCCCCTGCTCCCCTCCCCCCCAACCCCTGCTGGCCAGCATGGCCGCTGGAAGTGAGTGGCCTGGAGCCTGCAGCCCGTGGCCACGGGGGCAGGGGCGGGGGCGGGGGCAGCCCCCATCCCCTCCGAGGCCTGCCTGGGCCCCTGAGCCTCAGGGGTCCAGAGGGGCATCTCAGAGGAGACGGCGCCCGCCGCCCTGGCTGCCAGAGACGGGCAGAGGGACTCGGTCCCCACGGAGCAAGGCCTTCAGGAAGGACCGGCCGTCCGAGGACCTTCGAGGGCTGTGGGGGCAGGTGCTGGGCTCCCCTGGGGGCGCGTGAGAGACGCGGAGCCCTCCCAGCACACCTGCTCCCGACCCCACCGTCTCTGCCTGCCCCGTCGCCGTCTCTGAGCGCGGACCTGAGTGTGGGCTTCGGGGTGAGCAGGAGGCTTCCGGGAGGCTCCGGTTCCCATCCACGCACAGGCTCCGCTCCCAGAGCACCGGCCTCCGCACACACTGCCCACCCCCCCCCCCGCCCTCGTCTACTCCAGGGGCAGCCACTCCTTCCCGACCAAGCTCGCCACCTGGGGAGTCCGGTCGCTCAGTCCCACAGGCAGGCGAGCACAGGGCGGCAGCAGCGGGCGGCCAGCGGTCCTCTTACCAGATCACAGCTGAGTCAGGGTCAGCCCCCCGCGCGCTGCTGACCTCAGGGAGGAGCCGGGACTCCACACGCTCCCCTTCCCAAAGCGGACCCAGAAGAGAAAGGTCAGTGAGGGGTGAGAAGCGTGCGGCCCACACAAGGCCCGTCGCACAGGGACCCTGGCCACCGGGTGGGTCGAGGCTCCTCCACACAGGCGCGCACAGTCCTCTGGGGACTGGCCATCCCCAGGCAACCCCCAACCCCCAGAACCACACTGTCCCGGAGCCGGGCAGGGAGCCAGAGGCGGGGGACTGGCTCCAGGCCCCCGTCAGTCTCTCACAGAACAGCCAGGCCTGCAGCAGCCCCCGGGGACAGCGCTCTCCCTCAGGGCCGGGACCCAAAATCCAGACAGGGCAGTGGACCCAGGCTGGGAAGCAGGGACCGGCCTGGGCTGGCCGCCCACACCTCTGCCTCCGGGAGCCAGCAGCCCGTTAATTAGGAGGGAAGCAGCTGGAGGCTGCAAGCCCTCGCCTTGTAGGACCCAGAGCTAATGAGGATCTGCCTGCGTTACAGCCACACCATCCTTCTGTGCCATGGCCATGGGGGGTGGAGGGGGGGGACGGCTTCGGGCAGCACTGGTGGCAGGTGCCTCGGGGCCAGGGCAGGCCAGCGTGGGCAGTGAGTGAGGCTGCTCTGCGAGGGGTGGCCTGGCTGAGCCCTGTGTGCACCAGGCCCAGGAGAGCCCAGCCGCTGGGGGACCAGGAAGTTTCCAGAACGGCCAGGGTCCTGGAGTGAGCACCACCCGTACCAGCCCCTGCGCGTGCCCTGGGCCCTGGTGCAGGGCTGCCCAGTCCGAGACACCTCCAGCTGCCAGGGTCTGGCCATTGGCATGTGCACCCCTACCAAGTCCCAGACCAGGACCCCAGCGGCCCTGCGCTCCAGAGGCACCAAGTGGGCAGCGGCGAACGTGGCACGGGGCCTGGTGCTCAGGCGAAGTCCCTGCTCCCAGAGCCCGTGATCTCCCCGCTGGGTCCCGAGGCAGCGCAGGAGCAGGGTACCAGCGCGCAGGCCTCCCCTGGGCTCCCGCCGCCCTCAGCCCAGCGCCCGCCCGCCAGCTTGGAGTGCTGGTGCCATCTACTGAGCCCTCGGAGGAAGCGCTGCCCGCCGGCCTGGCAGGGCAGAGAAGGCACAGGAGCCGGCGTGGGCCCGGGCACGGGCGGTGCAAGAGTCACCGAGACCATCGCGCTGGCTGGACCCCGTGGGCCGCCCGCGCACGTCGATGCGCGCTGGTGGCCGGCGCCGCGCTCCCGCGCGTCCCCCACCGTCGGCCACCGCTCCAGCCCCGCGGCGCTCAGCGAGTCGGGGCCGAGCCCAGCAGCGGAGGCGGCGGAACGCGCTGGAAGCCAGGCCGGGCGCGGGGACAGCGCCGGGACAATTACCTTCTTTCAGGAACTGCGCGTGGATCACCAGGACGAGGAAGCAGCAGAGCGCGGCCCCCGCGAGCGCCCAGAGCGCCTTCAGCAGCTGCATCGCGGAGAGCCCTCGGCCGACGCCCCCGGAGCCGCGCAGCGAAGGTGCCGGCGCCGCATCAGCGCCCCGCCGGGTGCAGCCACCGCGGCCGCCCGCTCGCGCCCTCCATCCGCCGCCGGCGCGCGCTCCCCGCGACTGGAGGCGCCACTCCAGGCAGCGATCCGCGTCTTTTCGGGCAGGGGGAGGGGAGGGGGGGCGGGGTGCGGGGCGGGGAGGGGAGCAGGGGGCAAGGGGAGGGGGGCGGGGGCGGGAAGGTTAGCAGAGAGTCTCCGGCCGCGGCGGCCGCCGCTCCGGCCACTCGGCCACCATCGCGGGCTGCGGGGCGCCGGGGGCCCGGGCGCGGGGGGGCGGCCGCCGCGGCCCCATGAATCAGCCCCGCCGCCGCGCTCGGTGCCGCGCCGCCGGCAGGGCCCGGACGGCGAGCCGGGGACTGCGCAACGGTCCGGGCGCTGGGGGGACGGGGGAGGGGGGGTCTTGGCGGCCCGGCCTCCTGCCGCTTCTCGGCGGCGCCTTCCTCTCCTCCTCCTCCTCCACCGCCGCCGCCGCCGCCTCCTCCTCCTCCTCCTCCTCCTCCTCCTCCGCCGCCGCCTCCGCCTCCTCTTCCTCCGCCGCCGCCCGCGCTCGCTCCGGCCTGGGGCTCAAGGGGCCGCCGCGCCGCCGCCTGTGCGGAGGGCCGGGCTCGGGGCCGGGGCTGCGCGCTGGGCACGGGGCTGCCGCACCATCGCCGCCGCCGGGGCCCGCGCGGCCCGGCAGAGCTCGCAGCGAGGCAACTTGCGCGGCCGGGGCCGGGGGGCCGGTGCCTCCGGGCCGGTGCCGGCCTCCGCGCCCTCCAGGGCCCGCGCCCCCGCCGCTGCGGTCAGCGGGGCCCGGCCGGTTCCCCGCGGCGCCTCGCGCTGCTGGCCCTGCTGCTGCCCGTGCCGGTCGCGCCGACAGGTGGGGCCGGCGACACCGTGTTCCTGGCCGCCCGCGGGCTGCCGCTCTCCGGCCGGGGACGCGCCGCCGATCGCTGGGCTCGGCCGCTCCTGGGAAGGCGCCGGGAGGGAGCGGGACCAGGCCCGCGCGGCGATCCGACTCCCGCCGCCGCCGACTGCTCTCCGCCCGGCCGCCGATGCGCACTGGGCCGCGGAGGGGCCCGGGGGATCCCCGCCGCCCCGCAGCGCCCCCGCCTGGCGCGCCGGCGGGTCAGGCGGGGCCGGTCCAGCCGAAAACCGCGGGTCGGGCTCCACCTAGGCGCGCAGGGGCCTCACTGCAGAGCGGCCGCGGCGGGCGGGGGAGCCGAGCGGGAGCGGCCTCCGCGCCCCCAGCCCCCTCGCGCCCCGCGGTCCCCAGAGGGACTGGGAGCCCATCGCCACGGCCCAGGGCTGACCCGCGCGCGGTGGCTCCTGAAAATTTGGCACCTCCGACTGGAAACACCCCCCCGCCCCCCCACACACCGCGTGGGTCAGGCTATGGCAGCTGCAGGCGCGGAGCGTGGGCGCACAGCCAATGCTCCGACACACAGCGCGCCTCCTGCCCGGCCTCAGGCCCGGCTCTGGGAAGGGACAGTGTGTTTCCGGCCAGTTGTCCGCACTGTCCCCGAGCAGCGCCCACTCGCTCGGAGTCCACGGAAGCAGTGCCAGGGCCTCAAGGCATTTTTGTCTGAGCTGAATTTCAAGTTCAATTCCAAATGCTCAGCAAAGGGTTTGGGCCGGGGTCAGGGAGGGCCTCTGCCTGCACCTGTGCCCCCCTGTGTGGGGTGGTGGGGCCAGGACGGGCCCTGGAGAGCGGGAGGCAGCCTGTGCCCACGGGGGCTCACACAGGCCGTGTCCTTCCTGCACAGGGACCGCGGCCAGGCAGGGCTCTTAGAGGTCAGACAGGTCAAACCCCTCAGTGCATATTTGGGGAAACTGAGGCCCCCATAAGCCACATGGCCGCGGGTCCCAACTCCAGCAACACAGGGCAGCACTCCACTAGTGCCTGGCCTGCTGCGGCCAGCCTGTCCCGAGCCGGCGTGCCCGGCCCTGGTGGGAGGGAGGCCGCCTGAGGAGTCCCCGCCTGTGGCTGCAGCCCTCCCAGCTCCCGGCATCCTGGGGGCTCCGGAGGCAGGAATGTCGGGTCCAAGTCTCCCCTGGAGATGGGGCCCAGCCTCACGCAGGCCACACCACTAAGAGACGGGCTTGGAAGGGGCGACAATGTCGCCGTGGACAGTCCCCTCTCACAGCCCCATTTCCTGCAGCTCCTCACCTCACGCCTCTGCCGTCAGCCTCGGCCATTTTCCAGGGAGACACCCTGGCATGTGTGTGTGTGTGTGTGTGTGTGTGTGTGAGTGTGTGTGGGGAGCCTGACCTCCCCCAAGGTCACGGCCTTCCGGCCTCACCTGCAGCTGAGCTACCACTGGGCCTTCAGGGCCACGGGGATGCTGGTGACACACGCTACCCAGGACCCCAAAGGGGCCTCCGCCAGGGGCCCAGCCCTGGACATGGCTGGGCCCCCCCAATCAAGTGCATGTTATTCAAAACTTCGAACATTGGAAAGTCGTCAGAATTCAGCACCCGCACTGGGGGGATCTTCTATGGAGAGAAGTGTGCCCTGATTTCTCTTCCAGGTGCAGCCGGAGCCCCCTCCCCCGACACCGAGAACCCCTTCTAGTGAGTGTCATGACATGGGGGTGCCCTTAGGAGAGGGGGCGGTGGGGCGCGGGGAGCCCGAGGCCGGCGCCCAGAGGGGAGGCCAGCGGTGCACCGTGGGGGCGGGATCGTCTGGGCGTCTCTAGCCGCATGGCTCCGCGCACGCAGTGACAGGAACCTCCCTATCCCCTTACGGCTCCTGGGAGCACCTCAGCCCGTCACTCCTGTCCCCTGGCTTCCATTCCCACTGCCCCCACAGCCATGTGGTGGGATGTGCTGATGAAGAAGCAGACGCACTCCCTTATCAGGAAAGATTTTTCAACATTTGATAAGACTGCCTTTCGATATAATTGGTTTTCCCCGTAATCTCGCATATTTTATGTTGGTCTGGGAAGGGCTCCATGGACTCCAGGGATCGCGCACAGAAGCTGGGGGCCCCGCTCCGAGGGGGGATGAGGGGCGGAGAGGGCGGCGGAGCTGAGGCCAAGGGCCACGCTCAGCAAGCCGGGCCGGGAGCCAGGGGCAGGACAGGCCCCGGGGGCCGTGGCCCATGTGCCAGCTTCCCTGTCCACGAGGTCATTGCCACTTCCAGGGAGACCCATGCCTCATCTCATACCGTGCCCGCTCCCACAGGCCTGCAAGCGGCTCCCCTGGTCAGGCAAGAGCCCGCTGGGCGACATGGGGCCGAGGTGACCCCACTGACCAGGCGCTGTCCGTCCTCCACCTGTGTCCCCTCGAGAGGCCGCGGGGGCGGGGCGCAGGCATTCGCAGGCCGGCGGTGGAGCGAGAGAAGGCAGGCCCCGGACGCATGTCCCTTCCGCGTGTCCCTGGGGCGGGAAATCATGAACGACGCGGGGAAAAGGACGATGCTAATAGTAACAATAACAGCAATAATAACAACTCTAAACGGCAGCATTCTCCAAGAAGTTCAGAGAATGCAGTGCCCGTCAAAGAAAATCCGGCGGCTAAGATAAAAAGGAACACGAGACAAAAGAGAGGATTCATGGAAATGAACATAACTAACCAATTCTAAGCCACGGAGGATGGACTGAGGGTAACGGAGGCGTGACCGGGAGCCAGGCTGCGGAAAATAAGGTCGGAGACGTGTGGGGAGCAGACAGAGATAAGGAAAGGCGGGCGACCACCTGTCATTTAGTAGAAACTCCAAAGGAGAAGAGGAAAGGCGGCAAGGAGGAGGAGGTAGTCCCCTAAAGGAACAGCGTCTTACAGTGGCAGGGCCCGCTGTGCTCGGAACAGGCCTCATGGCCAGCCCCAGGCCGTGGTGTGCAGGGCAGGCCTGCAGGACACGGGGAGAGCAGCGCCCTGTGTGTTGTCTGAGCTCAGAAACAGTCGGACTCTGGGTGCTTCGTGAGCAACCCCGGGGCCGGGTCTCTGGGTCTTGAAGGGAAAAGACGGGCAGGCAGACTTTTATACCCGGCTGCGCTATCAGTGCCGCCTACCCCTCGCACGCTCACAGCCCTGCTTACCAGGCACGGACCCTGGGATGCCGCTCCCGCAGGGAAGGGAGTGAGGCTGCGGGTGGGAGATGGGGAAAGGCTCGCTGAGCGCCCGACTCTCCGGCAGTGAAGTGGCTGTGAGGATATCCCCGCACGTGCGCGCATGCGGCCCGCGCTCGGAAGACTCCCCTCGACGGGTAAAGCTGCCCCACCCGCCGACGCCTCTCTCCGGAGTCCTGCTCCCGCGCCTGGCGTCCCTGGTAAACAACACTGCTGGTGCCGCATCACAAATGTCAGGCATCGCGTGTCGCGTTTCAGAATTAACATGTAGACGAAGGTCAGGAAAATATTTATAGCAGAAAAGCCATGTAAGTCCTTCAGCCTCAACGATGTTTTAAATGTCTGAGAACCGGGAGGTGGAGTGTTACGCTGAGCGAGGGCTCTCTTTCTGCTGGGAAGGGAGCGGCGCGTCCCGAGGCGATGAGTCAGGAGGGAGGGGGAGGGTCCCTGGGGTCATCGTGCGGGCAGGATCCAGCCCATGAGAAGGCAGGCGGGAAGGGCCAGGACGGGGAGGGCGAGGCCGGGGGGGGGGGGGGAGAGGGGGGGACCGAGGCGGAGTCCTGCTTTTCATTCCGAAGCTTCATCTGCTCTTGGGTTTTTAACACGTGAGTCCTACCCTGTCCTGTGATTGAGAAAACCTGTATCGTAAGAATGCTGCGCCGTGAGGCCAGGCCTGGAACGCAGGCTGGAGAAGGCCTGGGGCGGACGCAGGCGCGTGACAACACCTCCAGCTCCTTAGTCTGTCCTGCAGGCCCAGGGCCGGGCCGGGAGGCGGCGGGCGGTCTCTGTGCGGGAGCCTGCGGCAGAGCCAGGCATGGGAGTGGGCCAGAAGAGCTGGCCCAACTGGTGAAACTGTGCATACGTGCACACACCTGTAACATGTGACAGGGTACACAGCACATGTGATGGGGCACTGAGCACCTATGGCCGGGTACATGTGTCACATGTTGATCACATGGCACACTGGGTTGAGCATTTGTAGCATTGTGACAGAAGCACACATAACGTGACATGAGGCGACACATGTAACATATGACAGGGACACTCA